TAATATTTGTCTTATATTTATAATTAACTATTATTATTTATATAATTGATTATAATCATTTATAATTTACTATTTAATAATTATCATTTATTAATTATTTTAAAGTACGTAAAAACTCCTATTTGTGTACTACAAATATTGTAAGAAATTTTTAAAATGCATGAGGCAAGCTATCTACGGCATCGCCAGAGCAGGAAGATTGGTGGGGAAAACAGCTGCCACTTTCGACTACTGTTTACTAGTAATACTGCGCGAATTAAGTAAACGAAAACTGCTCATTTCCCTAACCGTCAAAGAGTTAAAGAAAAGAAAATTGTGTGATAAATTTATGCACTACATTTGTCCAAAAGATGTACATTTGTTCAATGAAGAGCCTCTTGCATGAGTATAATTCAAACACTGGTAATTTAAAAAAAAAAAAAAAAAGACATTTCAACACTTTAATTAAAGCAAATGCAAGTGCAAGTTAATATTTATGGACAACAAAGGTGGCTTGATGCACCACCTTTTCTCGTGCATTGCAATGTATAAATTGCAAATTATATTTTCTCATTTATATATACAATCTCTCTTTCTAATCACAGTATTGTTCTTATAATTATTATGAGTGATACAAAATATACTTTTACTAAATTAATATCATATGATTTATCTGAAAAATGTTTGGAAGAAAAACTCAGAATATAATTAATCCATCTGTTTGTCTGTTCAAAAGCATATTTCAAAAGTCCTGAGCACATATTTGAGCGTACTGTGAATTACGATATTATAGATTTAAGGCATACAGTATGCAAATGCTACACAGAAGTTAAAATGGATAATTAACTGCTATTACTAGAATGTAGCTTTTAAGGAAAAAATTTTTATGACTAAAATCAAATATAATTATGGCCGAGTCAAATTGTAGATGTTTCTTAGTTTAATAGAATGGGAAAGGAATGGGAAAAATTAAATGAAAAAAAATCCAACAAGATGAAAGTGTATTTGATGAATTGACATTAAACTTTATTTTGGTTGATTTAAAATGTATGAATGAATAATTCTGTAGACCCCATTCCTGAGTTTTTCATGTGCATGTACTAAATCTAAAAGTGATGAATTTAGTAAAAAAAAAAAATTTGTGAAAAAATGCATTTTTCCTTTGTCAATAAATAAAATTTAAAGAATAGCTCTTCAGTTTTTTCCCAAAAAAACATTTTATGATATTTTAGTTTAGGAGACACAAATATTAAATAACACTATTTTACTGAAAACATTTACTTTCATGAGTTAAAAACATGGACCTTATAAGAGATAGACTAACCCAGTGAGCGGGGCACGTGTCACCGACGTGTCCGCAAGAGAGAGTAGGGAAGATCTGGTTTACTTTAACACTGAAACTTATGGCGTTTGTATCACATAACTGTTTTTAATTATTAAATGTGATACATTGTACAGTGATGAGATTATGAAAGTCACAGTTTTTTCCCAAATAGGATTTAATAAATCCCATTAAAGCACCTTTTACTGCATTTCGTCCATTTTTTTCACGTGTAATTCTTGTACAAACATCTGTACTTTGGTAAAACGTTAAACACTGTAAGCACAAAATTTATGAACTTAATTTTGCGTAAAAATAAAGTAAAATTAAATAATATTGATAGCACGTGATGTTTTTAAATAAATAAGGTAAAATTAAACAAGATCTGATATTTTTTTTTTTAATTTAATGAACATTTTCAGGCAGTGATTTTCAAAACTATAATAACATTACAAAATGATCATTTATTTGATCATATCATCATTAAATTATTAACATTAAAGTGGATTATTTATTTTAGTAATTTATAAAATTTGGAGCATAAAATTTTCTGAGTGTAATGAAGGATACGCCCAAAATAAACCTTTTTTTTTAGCGTTTTGTGTGTTACCTGTTGAATATCATGTTCTTCATCTGCAAACCACATACATTTGAAAACAGCATATCTTTAGAATTTCTGCACTGGAAATAAAAATATTTATTTTCCGTACAGCGTTATCACTGCTCGCTTTGAACTCGTTGATTTTGTTAATAAAAAATTCGTTAAAGTTTTACAAAACATGAAATAGATTAAAACAATTTTGAAATTCGACCGTCCAGATGCCCATGTTCGGGTGGAGGATTACATTATTCAAAATTTGATGGCTCTAGATTCCGTCGTTTTTGTCACAGTGTGAGAAACATACATGTATTCATGCAGAATCTTCATTATTTAATTTCTTTAAATATAATACAGGGTGGTAATGTTTGGTAACAACAACTTGCAAGGAGACACCGACATTTATAGTGAAACAGTGCAAAATGCCGCTTCAAGCTAATAAATTAAATTAACAGTAAATTAAAAAAATCTTATGCAGAACTAAAAATAAATTTAAAAAATAATCACTGTAAAATACAAGCAAAATTAATTATTACGGTTAAATACAATTTTAACATTAGAATTAAATGTATAAAAATTAAGGAGTCAAAAATGTTTATCACTATGATTGATTATGAAATATAATTGAAATAAAACTCCTTTATAGAAATTGTGCTTTAGTACTCTTCTATAATTTTAAAAGAGCAGCACAATTTAGAATTTTAAACAAAACTTTAAAAAATTTGTTTTTAAACATTTTACTATTTTTTACTCATTTATGCTAATAAAAAGCATAAAAATTGCAAGAGAAAATTGCTTTTTTGAAATTTTCTATTAGTTCAGATTTAAAATATTATTTTCTAAAAGAATAGTTACAAATTTCCTTACAGCATAGGAAAAGCTAAAAAAATATCCAGCCCTGAAAGCAAGCAATAGCTTTATAATTATTTGCAATGCTAATTATGCTTGATAAATATGCTAATTTTTTTAAATCAATCTCAGTTTCAAAAATAAAAATATGGAGAAATTCTAATTTGTGAAATGAGGCAATACAACCAGCTTTTTCTTGACAATCATACACGCTGCAATAGGCAACCACTGTTAAATTTCTGCAAGTCGCCCCTACCCCTCCGGATGTGATCAAGGTGACAGCTGAGAACGCGTTAGACAATGGAGAAAACTGATTTGGGTTGGTTTATTTCTTATAAGGTCCATGGTTAAAAATAGTTGCAGAAAGTAAGTTCTATTTATTTTTATTACTACAGTCAAAAGTCGTTAATCCGGACTCGTCGGGACTTCGGCGATTCCGGATTATCGATTTTTCCGGATTATAGATCATCAGTTTAAATCTCGTAAGATGGCATGCAGAAATTCTAAAATTAAAAATGTGAAACCGTAATTTATGAAATAAAGAACAATTATGATCTAAAGGGTATCAAAATTTGCAAAAAGAAAAAGCTTAATATTTATTTGTTTACTTTATTAAACATTTCTTTCAATGTAAGTTGTTTAAGTTTTGCTTCGTTTCATGTGATAATACTTTCTATTTAATTCTATTAAACAGACATAATTTCTTGTTCAGTTACAAAGCTCCGCCGTTCAAGTCCTATAATTGCTGTGTCAAGAACACCGACTAATTTGTCAATAAAAATTTTTTTGTTTTCAATAACCTCTGTCACTTTTCTTCGCTATCGGAAGCGAATTATAATGACGAGGAACTTGTTTTAAATCATATCAAAGACGGAGCATATCGAGATGAAATACTACGTTTGGTAAGGAATTATAAGCCAAATAAAATAAAAACATCTGCGCTGAAGATAAGGATAGTGCTGACAAATCAAATTCCAATTCATTAGGCGCCCGCCGCCGAGCAACGTGAAATTGATAAACAGATTTCGGATTTCAAAACATACTTTCGCTTTAGATCCTTTATATACTAACAAATATATATCGGAAATTCTATTTGATATAATCGAAAGTTTAAGCTTACTTTTATAAAATTGCTCTTACAGTCTGCAAAAAAATAATAAGCCGGAAGCATTTCGAAAATTAAGGAACAACGCAATCATCAACATTAACTGAAATAGATAATTAGATAATTTTAGCTTATACGTCCATTATACATAAAATGCGCACGCGAAAACGCATTCTGCACTTGCGCACACTCATATGCGCAGTCGTAAAAGGTCTTACGCGCACGTGTGAACGCCTCTGCGCATGTGTCAACGTGGCGCATGCGCAGAAAGTTTTTAGTTTTGATGTCCGGATTATAGATCATTCCGAATTATGGGTGTCCGAATTAACGACTTTTGACTGTATAACTTATCTTCAAATTCAAATTTGACAAAATATGTTAATTCATGTCTTGAAAAAATGGTGATGTTTTCATGTTCACATGTTGTGCAGCAAATATACAAAAACAAAATAAATATATAAATAAATTCAAATTAAAAATATGACAAATTTATTCATTTATTCAAGACTGGACTGTTTGACGTATGTCACAGTGAGCGAGGGTATCCAAAGGAAGGGATGGATGTATGCTTTAATGAAGGAAAGAGAAATAGGTGATTATTTATACAAAATCAAAATTATTAGAAACTGTGTATGATTTTCAGCATTAAAAGTTACATCTCCCTTAATAAAATGCATACAAAAAGTTCCATACTTCACATAAAGAATTTTGGAAAAAGGCATGCAATATTTTCATGAAGCCAACAATAATTAGATAAAAACCCTGTTTTACACAACACAAATCTATTAATCGGCAAAAGAGCGACATTTTATAATTGCCCCCTAAATGTGACTGAAAAATTCTAAATTCCCATTGCTAATATTCATTGAAAAGTGATATATGCCAGAAGATTCATTCTTGTATATCCCCACACGTTTTGCATAAAGTAATAATGGGATGGACAACAAAAGAGATACATTTTATATTTACAGAATCTTCCCACTCAGAGGGTTGAAAAAAATTTTTTTATAAAATTCTTCACCAACTTTGAGTAACACTTAATTGAAGGATATGCTATCTAATTAGAAGTACATGTGAACATTTAAAGACAAAAAGTATGCAGCTACCTTTCTCAAACAAGATTTACTAATATATGATTTATAACTTACATTTGTTCATCTATCTGTACAATATCTCTTTCCAATGTACTCTCTTCAAGATCTTCTTCAATAATTGTTTTTGAAACCTAAATAACATTTTGACATTAAAATAAAACAATAAGTATATATCCTGCATTTATATACCTACTTTTGGAAAGAAGGGATAACAAACAATAAAAAAATAAACACATAATTAACCATGTAATAGCTTTATATACCTATTACAATATTTTAATTTACTGATACTATCTCTACCACAAACAATGACCATCGATTTTACTCCTAGAATGGCATAAACATATTTATCTGTCATGAGAACTGTTGTCATATTATCTTGTTACTTAAACCATTCCATATTCCCCCAATGACCTAAATATAAATGAAAAGTTTTGAAAACAAAGAATAAATAAGTAATTGCATAAATTTAGTTAATATTTTTTTTAAATCATCCTACTCTTCAAGAAAAAATCCAAAATGTTCTGTTATCCAAAGGGTTAAATTTAAATTTGATAGTTATTCTGCGACAATATAAGACATTTTCAGTTCATCAAAACCATATTATAATTGGCTATTTTGGCAACTGTTATTTTATTTTCATAAAAAGTTAATAGTTATTCAGCAACATACAGCTATGCTACATAAAAATGTAAATATAGGAGGTGTTTACACTTTCTTACAATGATTTCAATAAAGAATTAAACCAAACACTTTTGATCAAAATTGTCTGGCAACAGCTTATTATTTAAAATTTGAAATATCTCCTGCTACTTTTAAATTTGTTCCTCTTTCAAAATGCTGCATGTAAACAAGCTGTGGACTGAGAGATATGTTTTTGCTATTTCCAAAGAAAAATATTCCTATTCCACAACTCAAAACCATTGAGAAATGCACAGTATTAGAATTTCTAAGTGCAAAATAAGCAACATTATTAATCGCAAAGGGGAAAATCAACAGTCATTTCTTCTGCATAAAAAGAAGACTCCAAATGATACCTAAAAAAAGATATGGACTTCTTCTAACGTTAAGTTAAATTGTTGGTAACAAGAAAAAAATCCACTGATGCAGAAGTCAGTTGCAAAGTCTTTACATACATCTATAGCAACAATAAATAATACATCAAGATTTACAAGTTAAAACAGATAAAAACATAACATTCAAAAGCTTTTGCTAAGGCATGTGACTCAATGCAGAACACTTTATAGAACACTGCATGAAAACTATTTAGCAAGAAAAAAAATTGAAACACACTGTGACCCTTGATGAAACATGGGTTTACCCAAATGCCTGAAAAAAAATTAACAAAAACAAAGAGAAAAAATTGTAAAAACCTGTTTCCATCAGGAAAATTTGGAACTTAAGTATTATCACAACCACCTTGGTGCAGTTTGCAGAATTTTACAGATAAAAAAGAATAATTACTTTTATTGTAAAAAAAAATATTATATTACACATATACATATTGTGTTCATATTCTACATTTCAATATATATTTATTCCAAAAGGCAAACAGTAAACTTAGTTACAAATAGGTTTTTCTTTCTGTTATGGAGAAAGTTTCATAGTAATCGATTTGAGGAATGATTCAAAGCATTGTTCCTTTATCGATTTTGCAATAAAATTATGTATTCCTGCAGAAATTTCACATTTCTTTTCTTATAGAAAAATCCTGCATGCATGAATTTTAAAAGAGAGTTTAAAACAAAAAATAATCATAATTTTTCTATAAAAGCCATTGGAACTTAAAATACAACAAAAAGAACTTGTATGAAAATGGCAATGTTGGAAACTGAATATTTGTGACACACATGGTTGTCTGAATAACTGTTATACAAGTGGTTCCCAGAGTTCAGTGCATTCTACAGCTTTGGCAATTTTTACTAAAATGGTTATGATGATATGAAGTACTGAAAATTCCAGTAAGGGATTTATGATTATCATAGAACTCTCTTACAATGGCAAATTAGAAATAATATGGGGGGAAATTAAAATCAACTCAGTGTACTATCAAGAGAACGTTATATAGTTGATATTTACAAATGAAATTCTATTTTTTTATACAAGTGACTTTCAAAGCGTGAAACTTCATCAAGACAAAGCAACAAGTCATACAGTAGACTCCCGATTATCCGCGCCTGCTGCACAAAGTTTTTTTTTTTTTTTTTTTTTTTTTTTTTTTTTTTTTTTACAAGTGTAAAGCAAAGAAAATAAAAATGTTAACAAAACTGAGCGAAAAGTTAAATTTGCTAACATCGTGCTTATTTATGGCAAATCCCAAGCCTTCTCAGAACCTTCCCTTAGGGCTTCTCGGAGCCTTCCCCTCTGATGAGTAAGTGATTTCTTACTCACCCTTGCAGTGCTTGCTCCACCGCCCTGTCTCGTCTGAATCTTGCTGACATGTCCACTTCCTCCCACTCGCCATTGTTAGTTTGAGCCTGATAGTGTTTGCGAACCAGTCAGAGTTAATTTCTTATCTTTTATTGTGTTCAGTGCTTGTGCTTTTTGGTTTTGTGTTTTTCGTTATCAATTTAAAATGTCAGGAAAATGAAAGAAGTTTGTGTTGCCGACTGCGCAAAAACAAGAATTAATTTCCAAAGTAGCAAACGGCGCTACAAGGCAGCAGATGGAATTGGATTACGGAATCGCGAAAACAACAGTACGTGACATTCTAAAGCAAAAAGACAAACTGGTGAACTTTGCATCAATGTCGGACAGTGCTTCCGCAATGAAAACGCGAAAAACTATGAAGAGTTCTACCTTTGATTAGCTAGACACGGCATTGACAGAGTGGTTAGCTCAAGTTCGAAAAGAGGGTACTCCTGTAAATGGTCCTATCATTGCAGTGAAGGTAAAAACCTTTTTTGAGTTGTTAAGTCTGAAAGGAAATTTTGATGCGTCTTCTGACTGGTTGACTCATTTTAAGCAGCGTTATGGAATTCGAAAAATTGGACTTCATGGGGAGAAACTTAGGGGTGGCCAACAAGCAGCCGGTGATTTCCACCATAAACTGAAGAATTTGTTTTAAAAGAAGAGCTATCTTTTGAACAAATTTACAATGCCGACGAATCGGGACTTTTGTGGAAATGTCCTCCCACTCGCACTTTAGCATTTGAAAGTAGCAGGTCATAAAAGCATCAAGGAAAGGATAACTATCATGTCTTGCAGTAACGTTACCGGTGGACATAAACTTATTGAAAGTAAAAAAAAAAAAAAGAGAGAGAGAGAGATCTTTCAAAGGCACAAGGATAGAAAATTTGCCCGTTGATTACTTGAACCCAAAAAAAAAGGATGGATGAACCGAAACATTTTTCAAGAATGGTTCGAAAAAATCTTTGTTCTTCAAGTGCGTAAACATCTTAAATCGAAAAACCTGCCTGAAGAAGCTGTGCTATTTATCGACAACCCACCTTCTCACCCAGCAACAAGCGTGCTAGTCTTCTGATGGACAAATTTTTGCAGTTTCTCCCCCAAATGTTACTGCACTAATCCAAACCATGGACCAAGGAGTCATTGCAACAATGAAGAGAACATACCGAACCAAGTTGCTAATGACCAAAATTAAAGAAGGTTATGATCTGGAAGAGTTTTGGAAACACTACACAATCTTGGACAGCATCTACAATATTGCATCTGCATGGGACTCAGTGAAACTGTCAACCCTCATAAAATCATGGAGAAAACTCATGCCTAATGTTGAAGCCAACAACAACCTAACCCCTTTGAGTTGTGAAGAAGAGAATGAAGATGTAGACACGCACATGGCAACTCTTGCCGATATGGTGAAAACAGTTCCGGGTGGTGAGAACGTCGATGCTGAAAACATTAACAAGTGGTTGGAGTGTGACGTCAACAAGCCTGGCTTCGAACGCTTGACAGATGACGAAATTGTGAAGAAAGCAAGGGGAGAGACCGAGAATGAAGGACAGCGAAGTGAAGGCGAAGAAGAGCTCACTGTGCAGATGTGGAAGACTCACAAAGCGGCTTTGCAACAAGTGATATGGTGAAAACAGTTCCGGGTGGTGAGAACGTCGATGCTGAAAACATTAACAAGTGGTTGGAGTGTGACGTCAACGAGCCTGGCTTCGAACGCTTGACAGATGACGAAATTGTGAAGAAAGCAAGGGGAGAGACCGAGAATGAAGGACAGCGAAGTGAAGGCGAAGAAGAGCTCACTGTGCAGATGTGGAAGACTCACAAAGCGGCTTTGCAACAAGTCAATGGACTGAGCTATTTGGAAGAACAAGACGACGTGGAGTTGGCCAAGAAACTTATGCTAGGAAAAATGCAATCTCGGATCAAGAGAAAATGCTGCCAAAGCAAGAAGCAAACACAAATGACTGATTTCTTCAAAAAAGCGTAGTTTTATAGTTATGCTTTTGTAATTACATAATACATTACAGTATTAAAACAGTACATATGTATTAATTTTTCTGTGTATCCTTGACGCCTCTTGTAAGTACAAAGCACTTTTCTGTTTTCGTTAACAAAATGCATTTTAGGTTATTTTTGAGTGATATACTAAAATATTAAGCATTAGTTAAACATTTCCTGCTGTTTATTTTATGTTTTATTGTACATAAAACGATTTTTCAAAGTTGGAATGACTGTTTTCTCTTTTGCTATACCCATTTTTAGCTTTTTTCGGATTATCCGCGATTTTTGTTATCCGCGGCGGCCATGCCACCCAATTCCGCGGATAATCGGGAGTGTTCTGTACTTCGAAAAGACCCACCACTTAAAAAAATGGAGACACACCCATCTTGAAAAAATTAAGATTGATAAAGGTAATACATATGTACCCTTTTAATGTATTCCTACAGTCTACTGAGATTTCACCTATAGACTAAGGTACCCTTAGTTCCTTGAAAAGAGCTCTTTCTAAATGCAAACCCACCACAATCGATAGACTCTGGAATGTAGTGAAAGAGGAATGGAAATCCTTGGAATCTCCTGGAAATTTTATGAAAAGCCCGTCTTTCACGGAAATCAAGAGGCAGACATATAGTATATAAAAAAAAAAAAAAGCTACCACACTGAACATTTAAAAAAATTACTTTTTACATTTTAAACATTAATTAAATGGCCCGAA